TAAAATTGAACGGCCAATCTGAAAATAACAAAAAAAAGGGGGGGTTTCATTTAAAAAACCAGAGTTGGTAACTACCACACGTTTATGATGCACCCCGTATATTGGAAAGTAATTTTAAAATGTGGACCTTTTAAACATGAAAAACTTTCGTTGGACGAATTTTCTTGTAAACTTCATATTTACTGAGATATCGCACTAATGAGCAACCCTGTATATAGGGAGACGAGCGATTTTGTTGGCGAAGACCAAAATCGCTCGTGGTCTTCGCCCACCACCTTCGCCAATCTTAATTTTGTTAATTTTAATTATTTATCTTGACCGAACATAAACATGTTATACATGGTTGAAGAGCATATTTAAAGGGAAATTTAAAAATGCAGAAATTCAATATGGCGCCCATAAGAAAAACAAAAGTTGACTTCGGCCTCATTGAACATAGTGCGCCCTAGATTATTTTTTACTTCATTTTCAAATTCACGCTCATTTCTTACCCCCACCCTGAAAATTTCGTTATTGTATCTTTTATAATAAACACGATATAAAGGATTTTATAAAACGCACTTTTTTCTTTTTTTCCCTGTATATCCGTTGCTATTCCGAGTTCAAAGAAGTTGATGACAGATTATTTATAGGCACTTGATTGCGCAACATTTTCCCCATTTGGTCCACCCTGTAACTCTAACGGTTTCCAATATCCCCATGTACATCATTGGACACACTGTATATACAGTGTCGCTGGTAAGTTTTTGGGGCCTTCAGGCCGTGGTAGAATAGAATAGAATAGAAGAACTTTCACAGTTGTGTTCTTTGAGCGAATACAATACAATACGTTACACCTCTGAGGATGTAACTACTACCTCTTAAGCCTGAAGACCTCTCCAGTTTCCAGCAAATGAAGGCAAAACTTTAACTGTTTTAATACGAGTCATATAGTTATCAATAAACCCTGCTTCTTCTATAAACTACAATCAGCTTAATTAATCCAGAGTCGTTGTCCATTGGGCATTGCTTGAGTCTAGACAGGCCTGGAGGCTCACTCCATTCCGTCTCGCGACATACGGAAGCGCGCAAAGTCCTCAAAAACTATATTGTCGTCATCGTCGTTCTCATATCGAGCCCTGGAACATTTCCAATGTACAATCGACTCTACTTTTTCGGTTGGTGCGCGTCTTGCCTCTCAATCGACCTGGTTTTCTTCAGGGCCGCAGTCCGCTCCTTTTCCATTGATCCAGGAGCTGGATGGAGGAGCTTGAAGGGCACATCAGTAACCAGCTCACCGCCAAGAGTGCCACAGTTCAGCTTCACTCTCAACGAGTAGGAAATGACGATACCGATGGCATCAATTGGGCACTTGCCTTCGGGCACCTGCTCTCAATTGTCCGTTAACTACTGGGACATTCACCAAGTGGAAACCTTACCAAGGTGGAACTGGCCAAGTTAACGTCGTCATCGCGTAGACGGCCATCCAAAGCCACCCCACGTCTATCCTTGTTTGAGGACGCCAAAGGCACCAGATAGACCACCTTAGTGAAACTGGCGCCAGGCGTGATGGGGCAGCCTTCGCGCGTCTCCAAACTGGCCACATACTTGGAGAATTGCGCATTTACCATGGTGACCTGGGAACATTCGTCTCCTAAATAGGACAGGGAAAGGTCTCAGTCCAAAGGCTCACCTCGCAATGCTGCACCACGTAGACCTTGATGTTGCGCACCTGCTTGCGGGAGTTGTTGGAGATCATGATGTTGGCACCGATCTTCTCCCCATGGTAGTAGATGTCCTTGTCCAAGGTGACCTCCAAGTTGATCTTACCGCTGGAGAACGTGAAGCCTTTAGAGATGAGCGACGAAGGAAGCCGATTGCCGCTACGCGCTGAAACCCAATCAACAAGAGTTGAACAGTGAGATCACGTGACTATTATGTGATATTGTTCAGAGGTTCGTACAGGTGACTTTTTGGTTCGTAAACGCCGTCAAGAGGACGTGATTTTCGGATCTAATCCCGAAGTTTAATATAAGAAAAATTCCTTAAACATTAAGCTGCGGCAGCAGATCCAAATATGCCTGAAATCAATGAAACCTGATGTTGTGAAGTGCAGTTATAAAGCAAATTTGGGCAGTTCCATTACAAAACTGACGTAAGGAGAATGCGCTCTGATATGTGAGTATTTACGTTTTCCCTTCCCCAGACAATTATTTTAGATTTTTGTAAAATTTTCTGTCTTGTGGGGTTTTCAGTCCTTCCCGTGCCTACCTGGAGGTGCAAATTGCAACTTCTTAATGGCCAGCTGGACGGTGCTTCGCTTATGCCCTTTATCCTCCTCGTTATTTCCCACCCAGCACTTGACGTAATACTCCACTCCCAAGGGCTTACCTTGGTCGTCTTCCCCTGGTTGAAGGGTCACCTGCCAAACTTATACAATTAGGCCCGAGTTGACTTACCCATCCTCAGTGCTTACCGAACAGGGGGCCATGTCGGGAAAGTGGAAAGTAAACGGAAACGCATTGGGCCCCATTTTCTTCACCAGCTTCTCCTGAATGGCACTCAACTCGGCCTCTAATTACAGACAAACCCCCCACTAATCAACCCATTTTAAATCCCAATGCAAATACCTTTGTCCCTCTTAGTGGGTGCAACCTGTGCACTGGTAATGGTCATTTCCTTGCTGAATTTAACGCCCATGACCTCGTCCTCTTCACGCCCATAGCGGTAGACGGTGACCACTGCGCAGAAAACGCGCCGCCCCTACAAAGACCCTTCAAATGCGAAAAAAATACTAAAACCCTAAACGTTTCGCTCACCTGCAGGTAGTCATCCTCAAGCACGACCACGCCATCGATGGGGTCGGTGTGGTCGAGGTGGTCGATGAAATCGCGCTTACCTAGATAGACTGTGATCTTACCATTGGGTGTGGTTTTCTTGAATACCTTTACTGCAACCACCATTGAAGAGAGAAGGCGTGATGCGGGTGTGCTGGCAAGTGACAAAGACGCCCAAAACTACAGAAGACACTCTTTATATTAGCGATTAGTCTAAACACCATTAAAACGACACATGGAGAACACATTTTCTGGGTGCGCCTTAAAAATCCCATACAGGGTGTATAAAAATTGATCCTATTCAAGCCTACCTGTTCTACTAGTGGCAAGACACTCTGAGGATGGCTTGTGTGACCAAAGTGGCCGTTTGCCTGCTGATTTGAAGTTTTTATGGGGGTTTTGTGGGGTTTCCTAACAGGATTAACTTCTACGTTGTTCACTTAGGTAACAAACTAATTGGATTCGCTGGAAAGACTGTTTGCGCGGGTCTTGAAGGCGACTAAATGGTTCAGGTAAAGCGCATTTAAATGCAATTAGGGTCTTGGTATGCGATATGCTGACGATATTTGTGGCTGAAAGCTTCATCAGAATTCAATTGTCTTCAGTTTCGTTTTTTGGCTTTAATTGATTCTTTTCTGTTTGGGGGGCTGTGGGACTTTTTTCAAGAAATAGTTGCTTCTCCGCTTAGTTTTTCATTCCGCTCTTTCGTCTTAATCCTGATGTTCTTCAGTATTTTTGTTAGTTGCAGGTTTGCTGGTTCTCATTTAGCGAAATTTCTTATTTGCGATGGTTTTCTTCAGCTTTTTTTGGACCGAAATTAACTAAACGTTCAAAAATCATTGACGTCAGAGCTCGTCATATTTGGTCATAATTGGTGACTTTTACGTCTTTTTTACGTGATTATCTAGTTCGGTGCTAGATGGGTATTTTTCGCTTTTCGCAACCGACATGGAGAACTTTCCTCATCCAGCGCGATTACAATTGTTTGTCAATTAAGTGTAATTAGCATCAAATTACCAAAAAATAATTAATACATGCACTTGAAGAACCTTGCAAACAAGCGTTAGAATAGGATTAACAGCGGTTGAAAGCGCAGAGTGCTTATTTATTAATTAAATTAATTCCACAAATATAATTTAATAGTTTTTGAGGAGTAATTTAACGGGCCCGGTAAATGGGCCACGTTGCTGTAACGTGGACAGCGCGACAACACTGGCGCGTGGCCGAGCCGACAGAGCCCTGTAAACATCTGATTACTTTGACAAGGCACGGTGACAGTTGATTATCAGTAATGGCGGAAAGCAGTTGGACAATAACATTTACCTACAGAGAATTCGTAAAAACTACCTTATAGCCCTGCAGGATAGATTGGAGAGACAAAGCCCAAAGGACTTGGCCTGTACATAAGCGACTGGGTGTTATTTTCATACAGCCATAGGCCAGCTGCACACGTTGCATTTAAGTTTCCTCGCATTCTGTAATTAGGATGTTTGTATTTTTGTGATATATCTGCCAGAAGAGTTCGATTCGCGCGAAACAGTGAAAAAAACTGAAAATTTTCCCCACGGGGCCGTTATGGTGAAAAGTGGTTGGGCACTTAACAGATAGCCATGGCGAACTTGAACTTTACAAGGAACATTGGAGGTAGCAGCCTCGGAAGGTCTAGTGTTAGTTTTGGAAGTAACTCTATGTCGGGGCATGTTACCCCAGTGTTCGGTCAGAGACCACCATCCGAGAGAAGAACCATTCCGTCAATGGGGTAAGCGAGCAGGTTTTTCATTCATGCCTCATTGATATAGGTTAGGAGTGAAAACTTCCCAAGGAAGCCCCACTACGTTGCTATTGCCAGGTGCTTAACAGCCATAGTCCACGAATGCTCATGCTTCTTTTCAGGTTCAGTTCACTGATAAGATAGCATTGTAGGTACTTGGTTTTTTTGCGTACCAATGTGAGCGATTTTATCTATCTCTGCGTGTATCTTTAACTATGCCAACTTGGGCCCAAGTCCTAAACATTTTTTATATATTCGATTTTGTTCCTATGCCTCAAAAGGCACAGAATTTTACACAATTTACTAAACCACCAAGCGTTGTCACTCCTGACACACCACTCTTTAGCCTTTCGTCAGATCTTTTTGATGTAAGAACTTTTACTTTGCCCATTTACTAACACCAGCCCAACTACTTAAATTTAACATTTAGGACCGCTCTAAGCCCCGTAAGTTTTGATGGGAAGTGATTGGTCCTCAGCTCTTAAGGCTTGAGGAGGAAAACGGCATTGAACCATTGTCTTGGCGCCTTGGATCCATTGACCTTAACAATCTAGTCGAAATCCTCCATCCCCATTTACTTCACTGCTTGCATCAAGGTTACTTTTGGCTTTTTGAAATCCGACTTTAAATCAGCGATTGCGAAACGCATGAAAGAGTTCTATTCCCACGCAAAAAACCCAAAAACTTGAAGCTCCAGGCTGTTTAGTTAACAATTAAAGTGTACACGCTGATGTTTTTGGTAAAGAGAAAGTTGGACTGTTTTTTTATGAAACCGCTTCAAATGGTTTTAAGAAATGTCCGCATCATTCTGGAAACAGTTAAATCGATAGGTCTTATCAGTTTAGCTTGCTTGGAGATTATTATTGTTAAACAACCCGGAACCTTATCAGAATAACAGCAATGCTTCAACAAGAGAGCTTCAATTGCCTGCAGGTTGTTATTATTTCGTTTGTTTGTGTTTGGGGTTTTTCGACATTCAAAGCGCCATCAGTAACGTAATTTACATTTTAGGAGGCAACAATGTAAACTGCGATTTATGAGCCGGTTTTGCCCTGATAGGATGGAAATTGTTAGAACTGGGAAAACCCCCACTCAACAAGTTCTGGAGATTGGATTGAAAAAGCGTTCAAATAAACCTCAAGCAAAACATCAGAGAGTTGCAAACAATCCAAAAGTTGTAAGACTTTGAAAATAAACTTGGTATAGCTATACCGAGGGCAGCAATAATCTTGAAATTTCAACAGAAAATTAACAAAAGCTAATGCTGCAACTTTGGATTTGAAGTCCAAAGTCGCGATCAAGCCGTGTGGAGTACACTGGATAAAAAACTTAAATCTCTGTATCTAGAACAGATAGAAGCTCAATATTTTAGGCCGAAATAGACAAAACCTTGTAGAATGAATTCCGATAATTTGGATTTTCCAGCGGTGCAGGCTTAAAGAATTTGACACGGGCTGAGGTATAACACTTTAGCCTAAAGCGGACGAAACTATCAGCAATAAAAGGAGATTCGAATTTTGGTGGTCCAGCGCAAATTTAAAAAAATCACCTGTTCAGAATCGCTGCGACTGTGAGGAGAGTTTACATAAAAATATATGACCAACCTGAAGAAAACTACACAATCAATGATGTACATTTCAAATTTTCCAGCAACTTCGGAGGATTTTTGAAACACTGTTTTTGCCCCTCCAAATCGGTCCAAAAATGTGGCATACATTACAAAAGAACGGACAACTCTATATCTAAAGCAGATAGAAGCTTGAAATTTTAGCCCAAATCAGACTAAACTCCACCGAATGAATGCTCAAAATGCGATTTCCCTGCTGCTCATTTTTTAGTACTCATTTTCTTTGCTTTTATGTAAAATTGTGGCACAAGCATTCTAAATTTGTGTTTTCGTTTTGTTGCAGAAACTCGAACCAAATGGGTAACATGAACACGTCCATGAACACCTTGGGTGGTTACAGTTCCTTCAACTCAGTGTTCGGTTCTGGAGATGGCAACACGCCCTCACTACTCGACTTGAGCGAGTTTCCTTCACTGACCAACCGAAATTCGGGAGATGTGCCGCAGCCGAACCCCATGCCTGGGGCTAAGCCCTACGTTGGCATGGTGAAGCAGGTAAATGGTCGGAAGGCGTTGGACAGGGCCCTCCTACTGACCCGTTTTAGTTCCCCTTTCAGCCGACGTCTGAGTCGAGCGAATTCACTATGTCCAGCGAAGACTTTCCAGCGCTTCCCGGCACCCAGAACCGGGCCGAGGGTGCATCACCCGCCGGCAGCCAATCGGATGACAAGGGTGCGCTAGACGGGACGACGAACGATGCGCAAAGCTCCCAATCTGGACTCATTCTACAATCGGGCGGTTCTCTTTCCGATAAGATTGGATCGAAACATGCAGGTAACATGTTTTGATTGTTATGTTTTAAACGCATCTGAGGATGCTTGCAAAGCGTTCGAAAGAAATCAGCTGAGGTGTCTAAACTATTGATGTTGCGCTCTTAGGTGGTATCAGATCGACGCCAGATGGGAGAGTGAGTAACATCCCCTCCAATATGGTGTCGGATCAGTTTGGGGTTGTTGGTTTGCTGGCGTTCCTTCGAGCGGCCGAGTCCGACCCCAACCTGGTCTCACTCGCTCTCGGGCAGGATCTCACCGTATTGGGGCTGAATCTCAATTCTCCCGAGAACCTCTATCCGTCGTTCGGAGGCCCTTGGGCAGACCATCCGTGCCGTCCTCAGGACGTCGACTTCCACGTGCCACCCGAGTACATTATCAATCACGCCATCAGGTAACCACTCTCTTCTCCGCTTGTAGTAAAGGCGAGGCGGTTGGCTCATCCAGTCGATTTCCAGGAATAAACTCTCCCCGATGAAGCTAAACCAGTACAAAGAGGACGTGTTGTTCTTCATGTTCTACACTAGCGTGGGTGATGTACTTCAAGTAGCGGCAGCTGCGGAACTGTAAGTGTTTTCCGGGTCACGATCAAACTGCTCAAAGTGATGGCGGTTTTCTTTTCTCCGCAGGTATTCCCGGGAGTGGCGGTACCATATGGAGGAGAAGGTGTGGATCACTCAAGTCCCAGGCATGGTGTTTCTCGAAAAGACGGCCAGTTATGAAAGAGGCACATACTACTTTTTTGACGTCCAGAGTTGGAGAAAGGCAAGACAACCACACGCACTTTCTGCCACGAGGACTTTAACTGTTTCGTTTTCTGGGTTGTTTTAGGTTGCGAAAGAATTTCACCTGGATTACAGTAAGCTCGAAGCGCGGCCCAACTTGGGCACGTGAACACACTTGGCTGATTCCATGACGCCCGTTTTCCCCGGGCATCCCTGCCGCGTATAAATAAATGAAAAGTGTATACATTATAATAAAACTTGTTAATTTTAAGGCTAATTTTGGTCTGGAGCGCGGCGCGTCGCGCTCCAGGTTCGGATGGGTATTAACAGTTTCAACGGCAAACAACGCACGATGGTTTTACATTGTAAAGATATACATTTTTCATTTCATTTGTATATTAATTTGTACAATATTAATAAATACTTACTGATTTATTTTACATTTGAGTTGAAGGCGTACTCATCTAGATCTCCGATTTTTCTGTGAGCACTGTTTATGTTGTTTAATATAGGAGAACTTTTGATTTTTTTATTTTACTCAATAAGGAGCGGCATTCTGCCTTGCAAGGTTTTTAGGGCGCTTAAAGTTCAGACTTGCACGTGGGAATACATGGACGTAGTTGTGAAAAGTAATATTTTTTCATCAAACTTGTTGGATTGGTAATTTGCGACTAGTTTAAAGGTTTCTAAACATTCTATAATAATGTGGTGGTTAATTAGTGACTGTGATGGTAATCACTAAAAGACGCCTATTTAGGTTTGTGGGTTTTGCGGACAGATGGTGACAAAAATAGTGTTTCATTTTTGCCACCATCTATTGACTGAAAAACCCACAAACCTAAATAGGAGTCTTTTAGTGATTCTATGCTAATGTTAAATGCGAAGATGTACAAGACTACCTGGGAATTGTTCGTATTGCGATTCCTTGAACAATGGGAACTAAAATTAAACATTTTTGGACACTTCAAAATTGACGTCAGCTTTTGGAGGTTAAACGTCGTTTCCATGCCAACGTTGTTTGTATATATTTCTCAAATCGTCTCTCCTTTTCTCTCTTGCCCCTAGGCATAGTGGATGAGCGACAAAGAGCAATTAAGGGTTATCATGGCGTCATGTTGCAGATTGGGGACAGTTTGGCAGTTGCGATTGTCAATGGCATTGATTATTGTTAAATTAAACACCACAAAGTCCTAGCGTTTATGAGTATTTAGTGTTAAAGTGCCAAGAAGTGTTAGACACTTGTGCTGTCCAAAGATGTGCTTGAGAAATAGGAGAATGGACCAAGTCTTGCAAAAATGTAAGTAGGTACTCATTTCATTCACATCTAATCTTTGGGATTCTATTTGTGGCTTCGGGTTTTTTGCAGTAAAGCCCGCGCTTTTAAGCTTTGAAACAAATTCGATCAGGTATAAAATAGGCCTAAAAATCAGTGTTTTGACTTCGTCGTGCAATGACCTTTCATCCACGTACGAAAAACACTGTTGCCAAGATGGGCTTTTCCAATGTGTGGATGAGACTTGGCACAGATGTCTAATATCGGGCGTCCACGGCTTTGTCCCATAAATTTTAACAAATTTACTTGTGCTGATTTAGATCTAAATCGACCATTTCAATATCAGAGTACGGCTTGACCCCCTTTGAGCCTTGTGAAAGTTTAGAAGCGCCATATCTCCTAAAGGGTTGAAAATATCGGATCGGAGTCGTGTGTCAAAAGTGTTCTTTCACTTTTCAGCATTTCTAACCTCTCAACACCCTGACCCTCATTTTTGATGATCTACTCGACATTTTCACGCATATCCCGAAAACGGTTGGTATAATCGAAATATTCAATAGGACGAAAAATCGTACGCTATCTTTCGGTCATAAGGTTTTATTAAAAACTCCTAACCCCTAAAAAGATAGAAGCTAAAAAAGTCTAGCTGTAAGTCCTGAAAACCAATTCGGTAGAGCGTTTCTAGATCTATCTTTTCTTTAAGCGTCAAGCGAAGTTGCCAACGTCCAAAGAGAGGGGCCCACTTTTAGTTAAACCTTTTCTGCCTGGCTGTCTGTATATTTAGACTTTAGTCAAAATGTAGATCATCTTATACCTACTTCGAAAATATGACGCTTTTCACTTGTTTTTTTTTTTCAGTAAATAACTGAACATTTGTCATTATTAAAGTCTGTGAAGATTTAACAAACCACTTGATAGATTTGAGGCAAACTCACCTACTAAAAATTATTCAAAAAACCAGCAAAAAATCTAGATAAAGTATCAAACAGAAAAGAAAAAACACTATTAACACATCCGAATTATATTAATTTATTATAATTTCCATAAAATAATAACATTTACAATTATTATTCAGGTTACAGATTCTCCTATAACATAATACACCCTCTGTATGTATAATATAAGCTCATCAATTTAGTCATAAGGTAAAGCGTAGGTATGACTAAGAAACCTCGAGGCATTACTCAATTGAGTACAGATCGAAATGTATTTGTTGTACAGTTGCAGTATCTGATATGATAGGCAAGGGAAACGCTGAGGAAAGTAGAGACGATTTGTATCACATTTGGAAAATTTGAGAGGTCACAGCCAAGAGGCGCCTGAAAGGGCCCGTATCTAATCCGCCCTCTTGGCTTACGCTTAATGACACCGAGAAAAACACCAAGCCTGTGAGTGCAAAACACAGGACGACGACAGATATTTTTAGTTAACATCGAATACACTTAGAAAATGTCCATACGTTTATCATAAAACCGAAGCCACTAGTAATTTACACCTATCTAGACCTACAACCTTAAGTTAACACTCATAACAAAGAGGAAAAATCAGTTTGGTTGATTTCTAGCCAATAAATTAAAGGCTCTGTTTTCTCCAGTGGTGCAACCAGTCCTTGTCCAATTCAACGCACATTTACTGCCAATGACTAGTTGCCACGGCAACAGTTTGGGACAGAGCCGTTTGCACCACCACGGATAGCTAAATAATTAAAAACAGCTAAAGCAATTCCTAATGTGATAGTGTCCCTTAGTCTTGACTCCTCACTAAACTAGAAAAATTACCCTTCTAGATTCAGCCTTATGCTCTAAGACCAGTGAGTGTAGTACAAGGGCAAACCCCTAATTTATATCGAGATACAAAAACTAGTTTGTGCCGAGAAACCATGTTGTATTGTATACAAACCGAACAGAATGTTGAAGCGACCACGGAAGTGATAGTCAAATTTGCACATTTAAATTCCAAATGACACTATGTTACAATGTAGGTATACATATGAGATTAACATTCACTTACGGTTATCTATTTATTTTATTTTTTGATAATAACATTCTATGTTACATTGACGGTCATTTGCATTCTAACCAGCTAAAAACCAAAGCGTGCGCTGCTCTCAGGACTTAGTTGACTTGACTGACAGAGTGTCCCGACCCAGCGTGATCGATCCTGGTAGCAAACGATTTCTATGGCAATCACTATACGAATGCTTTTTTTCTTACGACGGCTCTTTTTCTTGCTTGCGACCAGCATTGTTACGGTGTCTAATCAACAGAAGCAATTTGGGTAATTGGGCCACTCTGTACACTCATGTTTGAAGCCCCTATAGGTCTAGACAAGCGCGCAAGCTCTCACCTTGTTTTGCCGAATAATATGACAACGCTATCGAAATCATTTATTCGATTAACTAGCAAAATCCACACTTAAGGAAAAATCGTAACACTAATGGGATTTTCTCCCATAAAAAAACAGATCTGAGCAATAAAACTCTTGAGCAACCAAAAACAACGCAAATAAATAAATACGCCTACTATATTGGGTGGGCGCGTACTGGAAGCATTAGATCAATTTTAGCAACAGCATCCAGCTCAATGCGCCCAGTTTAACCTATGAGAAAGTGTATGCACGCAAGATAAACCACTTCATTCACTCACTTGCACTCTCATAAATAATAAATACTTTGGTCCGACCAGCGGGAGCCTCTCAGAATGGATTTTTACAAAAGACAATCAACAAAGCGCAGTTACGTCCGAACTAGTCAGAGGGGCGTGTTGAAAAATCCCACTTCGGATAGTTGATATGTCGAGCCCTTCCGACCAATCCGGAGCGCTAATCTTTGCTGATATTATTTACACAAAAATCTTGACTAGCTTAAAACCATCGCGTTGCGGAAGAAGTGGAATGAGCCCTATTAAAATCCGAATTTTGATTGATCGGACACAATGTCCACATGTTATGTACAAGAATTTCGATTAGAAGCTCATTCGACTGTTTTTAGAGCAATTTTTTTCCCGACCAATCAACACACACAACCATTCAGGGATATGTTGTCGCCGCAAAAACAACAACGCAACGATAACGAAAAACGAACAAATGAATAAGGGCGAGAGGGCCGCCTCCAACGGGCGTCCTTACTACGATTGCCAAGCGTCGGTCGCCCTTCATCGTATATCTCGCATGTTTTGCTTTGAGCCAAAGATTTTGAGCATTTGGTCCTCGTAGTCGGTGATGTTGCGCTTCATGATCTCCATGCAGGGGCCCAACAGACGCTCAAACGCTTCTACGTCCAAAACTGAAACAAAACAATTGCTTCTTTAGGCTTGAAGCCGAGCAGTCAACAAAATGTTCTCGAATTAATTCCGAAGAAACCCATCGATGGATTTTGCTCAGATTTACACGGCAACATTGGTTTGTTTAAAAGTTGCGTCGTCTGGTTATGGAGAATTCAGGCCTTGAAGACTGTCGTGCACAAACGGCGTATGGTCAAAAAAAGTTCCCAAATGAATCCCAAAAAAAACCCTTGATGGATTTAGCGTATATTCCGACATCAATGAAAGTGAAGCCTTTCTTCAAGGCTTCTGAGGGTAATGTTTTTATATTCAGAATAAATACTCACAGGCCAGCTTGACGTCGCCATCAGCAAAGGCAGAGGCGGCGCGAGGTCTGTGGGTGACCAGGGCCAGTTCCCCAAAGTAGCCACCTTTGGCAATGCGGTTGATTTCGATCTCTTTGCCACTATCGTCCAGCACGCTGATCATCACTTCTCCATTTTCCACAAAATACATCCCGTCAGCCGCGTCACCCTAGCAGACAAAACAAATTGAGCTCTTAGCTATTCAGCTGCAATAAACATGCAGGTTTTACCTGTTTGATAATTCGCTCCCCTTTGCCAAATGTGCGTGGCACCAGCGCATCAGCCAAATTCATCCGCTCGTAGGGCTGTAAAGTCTTTAGCATTGGCACGCTCTCAATGAGAGCCTCGTACATCTTCCTCTTCTTGAAGGCAGACTTCAGCAAAATACGCCTGAAAATATCCAAATCACTTCAGTCCAGCAGGGCGTCCACCATTAGGTAACCTACCTAAAAGTTTGCCGATCCATTGCCCATAAGGAGCCTTCAGTATGGGCCTTAATAGTGGCAGCTCTGGGCATGTTGTAGAGCAACGCCAGCTCTCCAAAGCTGCCTCGATTGTCGTAGGTGTGAATATGAGCGGGTTCCTGTCTTGGATCCGCTTGGACGTACGCGTGGAAGATCCCACTGAAACAATCGAAAAATGCTGAATTTCTCCAATAACCAGCAGGAATTAGCCTGATTGCATGTAATCCAATTGAGGAAGTTAGCGCGAAACATTTGAATCGATTTTAAGAGCCGGCCGAGTGACGTCAAACGAGTTATTTAGCTTCCACCGACGTCACCAGTTTCCTTACACAACCGGAAAACCTTTAATATCGGTCTCACGCAATGGCCCTGCACCCGAATGGCTTTAATTTGTTGCCAAAGTCACCGATTCAAGCAAAAGACATTAACTTGATCCCGAAGATCGTTAAAGGCGGGGATCGGCACCGCTTTCCCGAGGCTCTTGATATCGGTCCACTCTGTATAGTTCGGGTCGCTTCATATATTAATAAACGTCTGACCGGGGCAATAATTGTGAGGCCAACGTTGTTCTGCTAAAATACACGGAAAAATTGCGCTCCGGATTAGTTAACTGGGTTAATAATGGGTCTGGTTGGTTAAACTGGGTTGCATGCGCTCTTTTAAACATTTGAAGTTGAAAACATTTATTTACAAAACTGGTTTCATTCACTTCATAAGTAAATTCGAACGAGAAACCATTGAAGTGCGCTTCAATTTTAACTACTAGGACTCCAGTATATTTTCTGGGAACTTGACAAAACTGATTGACGGAAAATCACAAAAATTCGATCTTCTTCGATTCGATCTGACCTTTTTTTTAAATACTAGTAAAGTTTGGACACCGATTTCTCAGCCAGTTACTGGGAAATGGTCTCTTGAAGGGTGTAGTGCAGATATGGCGCAGTCCAAAAATGACCAAAGTTTCCAAATTTATTCCGAAAAAACGCCTTGATGGAATTAGCCCGAAGTCATACAGCAATTAAACTCAGACTTAAGACCCCAGTTATCGAGAAGTTCTCTGTTGAAGCCTGTAGTGCAGAAACCGCACAAAGGCAGAAAAATTACCAGTCTCCAAATTCATTCCGAACAACTTCTGGATGGATTTAGCCCAAATTTACACAGAGATGAAGTGAAGCGTCCTTTCAAACTTTTGGAATTTATTCCGAATAAACTCCCTGACGGATTTGTCACATAGATTTAGCTCAAATTCACGTAGGTAGCAATTAAAGTTAAAGAGTAAAGCTTCCTTTAGACCCCTTGGTTTCAACCCCTTAACAAATCAACCAAGCGGTTGACAACATTGCCACTGTTGCCAAGTGCAGTTTTTTCTCCCCAATTTCGACGAATCAATTATAAATCGTTTGACAAACAGAAATCGAAACCGGTACCTTACTGGTTTGGTTTGAATGAGAGCAGCTCCAAAGCCTTTGGCAAACAATACGCGCCGGTTACGACATTCGCAGCCTTACAACATGTTTATTTTCATTGAGCGATTGGGTCAGGCTTGCCATAATCATTTATAACCCAAAAAACCGATTACCATCCCGCTTCGTGTTATCATAAATTTGCCGAGTTTATTTTCGCACATGCGGCACATTCAGATGTTTCAAATTAACAGACGATTCCGCCAAAGTGCTTCGAGAACGAATAGCAGAGACAATGTGTTGTCTCTGCGAATAGTGTGTTTTCATCGTTAATTTGTTCAATTCGATATTCTCCCGTTTACCCACTGTAGTTGGGAGGCTATACAGCCATTTAATTGATGTTTAGTAGATGGGGCCACCATGAGGGGTTATCCCCTATCGACTTGTCTGACTCTACAAGCGACCTTTAAATTTATGAAACACTATTTGACGTGAAACCTGTTATTAGCATGCAAATAGCAAGTTAATTAAACCATGCCGTGATTTATCGGGCCCCATGGGGACTAAACTTTTCCCAATTGCAGTTTCCTAGCCCATTCCAGCTCAACATAGCCCCATGCAAATTAAATGAGGAAAATTTTCAGTGACTACAAACCGTCTCCTAGATGGAACTTGAATCGGGTACTGATACAGTTTAATCAACTTATCAGGCCCGATTTGATGGATCGGTAAGGTGCAAAAGCTGTAGAATTCCACATAATGTTAAGCTTCTTAAGCCTCAGTGACGGATGTGAAATTCTCGCGTTTGTTTAATCGCATTTAGTTTTAAAAAAGCCTTGATAAAGAGTCAGAGGTTGACGTAATAAAAGAGGAAACTAAAAAATCTACTAACTTTTACCCGGCGGGAAATTACCGGAAAAAGCTTTTCCACAGTTCCTGTCAGTTTTCCGAGACCAATCAACCTGGCTGAAGTAGTTTTAATGGCTTCGATAGGTTAAATACGAAGGCCAAAGGAACAATGAGGCGCTTCCTCTATTTACCAATGAAAATGTCATCCAGACATCTGGCTGAGTTAATGAAAAATGCCCAGAGGAATACTGAACAGTTGCGGAATTTACAAAAATATTTTGTAGCTAAATTAATTAAGAAAAATCCGGTTGGCAGCAGGACTAAAGTAGAATCCTCTATTCGACAATGAAAACCACATCCAGATATCTGGCTTAGTTAATGAGAAACGGTCTGGGAAACAAGGTTTTTCATATTTTCGATTAAAAAAAGCCCCACTACATACCTACTCATTAAATATAAATTTCACAGAACTCAAGCAGAGCTTCCTCTGAGGTCAGTGAGAGCTCTATTCACAAAGCTGGCGTTGAACACTTACCTTTGAATAACATAGAAATTGTCACCATCGTCACCCTGCTTGATCACCAGCTCATCTTTAGCCACTTTCCTCTCGAACATGGCATCCAGCACCTCATTCATTTGCTCCTTCTCCAGAGAGCGGAAGAGGAGGATGTTCCGGACCGCCTCGGACAAACATTGGCGCTGCTCATCCGACTTGGGGAAAATGGTGCGAGTTCCATCGTCGTCCTCATCCTCCTCTGGATCGTACGTTTCCGCAAAGACGGATTTTCGCCGATTTTGGAAACGTCCGACTGGAGGCTCTGGAACAAGACCCAATAAATCAATGCTGATTGCACCTTTTACCAAATCGATTATCAAAATTATCATTAATGGTGACACCTTGCCTCTTCAAACACAGGGCTATTTTCAGTTTTGAAGGGACTAATATCGGATCAATCGATTTCCAAGTCCAATGCAATATTCATTGAACCAGGCTGACCTGGATGTCGCTGCGAATTATGGGCATTTCCTTAGTGTAACAGACTATTGTCAAAAGTCAGACCAGGCTAGATCTGGTCATCGGTACGGCCAGTGGCCATTTAAACGGCAAACTAGCACAATCACGAGCCTAATGCGAAAGGTGAAAGCGTGTGCTTGATGTGCCAGATTGGGGCAGAGCGAGTAAATGTCGCTGAGAATTGAACGTTGACGCTGATTAATGACTTTTTAATGAAATCACACCAAGTAACTGACCTAATCCAAACAGAATGTTGTGGAACATTAGCGGAAAAGCTTGGACAAGGTCGAGGCTGGAAAAGTGTTAAATCGTGAATTTTGTAGCCTGATTTGATGTCCGCTTGATTACGATTGAGACATGTTGTGTTATCTGGATGAGTGACGTTCTATTGAAGACTTTAACGCAGAATTATGCAGTCATTTCGAAGAGGCCGCTTAATGGATTTGGCTGAAATTCGCATAGCTACTAAAGTGAAGCTTCTCTTCAAGACTAATGTACGGCGCAAGTTGATATCTCCTCTCGTTATGAAGAAATGGGACTTTGAAGACTAGAGGGCAGAAGCCAAAAATGTGCAGTTTTCGAATTCATTCCGAAGCAACCCATTGATGGATTTAACCCAAAATGACTTACTAATGGAAGAACATATTTATCCATTGGCCCGCAAAACCCTCATCCATACATCTCGCAGGTTAAGGAATAATGGTAAAATATTGGCAAGGCTGCAAAAATGAAAATTCGCGATTTTTTGTGTTCAAACGGCCGGTTTGATAAGGCTAATCATTGCATAAATATAGCAGCTATGTTTAAACGAGTAAACAGGGCGACCGGGTGCCAAAAACTGACACAGATACAAATTGCATGCGAATTAAATCGGGAAATCAGCCTTCAAGGAAACCTCCTGCCAATTTATCCACTTTACAGTGGGCTGGGCAGGTTTGTTTAGTCTAAAGCCTGCAGCATAACCACTTACAATTAGTAGAAAAATTACACACTTTTAACTGAACGTAAAATCAACCTGACAAAACAAATGTTGAGGAAACAACCAATTGAAGCGCAGCCTTAACAACAGCTTAAACTTCTACAGAGTGTTGGCAAATAGGCGTAATTAAACGAACGGAAAAACTATCTACTTGTCAAAAGAACCAACAAAAAATCAAACCTTATGCCTTACCTTCTTCCTTGGACAGGGTGGACTCGTCTGGAGAGAGGGTTTCTGAGGGTCCGGCGCCCTCATAGAGCTGAGCACTAGCCCGGGCTTCTCTCAGCCGATTAAAGTATTCGGATGCATAGCAAACCACATCCCCAGGCTGCTCTAACAGGTAGCTGATGGTAAACTCCAGAAGAACCTCCCTGAGTTCGTCGGGCACTTGAACCCGGGCTCCCACACTGCCACCTCGGTTCATATTCCCTTCTTTTCTCGTAATTTTGAATGCGTTTGATTGCCCGGGGCTCGAAACAACTGACGTTTACTGACGGGGGGCGCAGGCAGTGTCACTCGATCACTGCCATATGTGGAGCCCTGGCTGAACGATTTTCTGGCTGTTAAACGTGCGACTCGCTAGCTGAAGGCTAAGAAGCCACCATGGGTATGAAAACCGATGGAAAGTCCAAGCGCTGCAGCAAGTCAGGTTAAGGCCTTATGGGGATTTTCACTCGCAATTTGTCGATTTTCGCGATTGTTTGGACGCGACACACTCACTTCACAGCATTTTTGAGCGTTTCAATAGGCGTTTCTGTACACGGAGACCTTTAAGGCTCGATCAATGATTAATGATCGGCGACCGACCTGACGACTGACAACTAGGTGACAGTACAGGTGGAAATGCCTTGAGCGCCGCGTTGCCGAGTGGTGCCCGAGACAGGAGCATATAAAGAAATCATCCGGAACTATTGGCAGATTTTCGCAGTTTTTCCTTAACTCACTAAAGCTAGTGGGTAAGGGCTTGCAAACCAGCCTGATGATTATCTGGAAAAAAAGCAGACAAAAGTAAATGTTGGCAATCGGAGAGCTTTGATGTGAAGGTGGTTTAGCTCATTGGATCATTGGCCCTGCTTGGCAACAACGACGAGCGAAAAATAGCAGCTCGTTAATGGCACTATATACAGGGTGATCAACCAACCAACATTGTTGCCAATCAAACAGAATTTTATTGTAGAATAACTCGATTTATACGCTTTATTTCACCATCGAATGCCGAATGGCTCGATTAGCAAGAGTTAATATAAATCAATGACAGATTTAAATGTCAATGGCGTCAGACAGTTGTCAAACCCGTTCTCCTTTGAAAGTTTTTTTGGGGCTTTCTCATGGAAATAATTGGCGAAATAGGGTGTTTATAGCGCTATCTAAGTCTCAATGAGTTTTGAGTTCGGGACGTGTGTGAGTGAATACTTACTTTCAATAAGACCTGCCAAAACCATGGCAAAAACTTGCGGGGTAAGTTTCATAAGCAAATTTGCAAAAAAATAGCGGGAAAATACTATTATGCATAGATTGCATAATAGAGAGGCATGAAAAGTCAATTTCCTCCAAAAAAATCGTTAAACTTTAGTTACATCTGTGATTTTAACCCCGTGCGAAGCATTTGAAGTCGCATTTGACACACCTTGTTTCTAAAGCTGATTTCTTGATAATCAGGCTATATATTGAAATGGTACCTTTAACAGTGCCTAAAGAAAACTTCGTTTTCCAATTGCTATCAATATGGTTCAATTACATTTAGGACTAGCTGTCCTAGATGGATATTCATCTGCCTACTGTATGGACGACTCTGTATATCTGACAGTTTTGCAAAATTGCCAAAAAAGTACCGAAGGCCTTTGATTTTATCCACTTCGGTACTACACAGGCGGTTTTAGTTATTAATTGCATAAAAATTGAGTCCAGTCCTGTACTAAAACCAGCTGTTTTCTTGATAAAACGGTGTACATTTCATACAAATCGGCAACGTGGGTTTTAGTGAGTATACGGGAAACAAAGTTCTGTTCCTGAATTTGTATTCAAAACTCACTTTATGGCTCTTAAACTGAATCTAATAGTGGCTGCCAGTGAAAACTGGGGAATTGGCAAAAATGGCACGCTTCCCTGGAAGCTTAAGTAAGTACTTGGGAAGACTGAGCAGATATACAAAACTTCAACGTATATTTCATCAATATACAGGGTGTTCCATCAGCACATGATCAGAAGGATTCTTTGGCTCAAAATAAGGCGATCTGCCTGATTTTTATTAAAGAAAACTGTCCAGTTTTCTGCCATTGACAGTCAAAGTTAAAAACAGAAATAATTGTTTTGTGCAAAAACTATGAATGCTACAAGATTTTTAAAAAGCCCAAAATGATAAAAAATTACTAGTGCATCAACTCAAAAAATCAGTTGATTCCAGCCACTACATAAAAAGTTCTGGTAGTTTTTGCACCGAGACACTCCATAATTCCTCACTTTCCCAAAACGGATGAACTCGGTTCATCATCAATGAGTCATTTAAATTAATTCCATCATTCTCCCGATATTTCAGAAAGCAGAATTTTTTGAACTGACCATCAATAGCAGAAGTCAGAAATTTTTTCTTAATGATAGTTAGATCGGATGGTCTTTTTTGAGCCAAAGAACGTCACAGTACTATTTTGATCAAACACTTACATCTTTCCGATTGGACACTGACGCGAAAAACGTAGGCGATTCATTTACTTCCCGATTTGGTGGCATTTTTTTACGTCGAGTTCTACACATGCCAATGAAAAAACATGTAAATACCCGGAAAATTTCCCCTAAAAATGGTCAATTTTAGAAAGGAAATGGCCTTCTTTCGGACAATGACCTCAGCAACTGAAGACAAAAGCAAGAAAAACGTTGTAATAATGGGCAGGAGAACTTGGGAAAGTATCCCAGCTCAATTCAAACCGCTGCCTAATAGAATTAACTTCGTGCTGAGTCGATCTGGCTTAAACTTGGATCAGTACAGCAATACTCAGAGTTTTACTAGCTTCCGAGAGGCTCTGGATAAGCTGGAAGAGAGCGCCTTTAGGCAACTGTACGAAAACGTGTGGATTATTGGAGGATCCAGCTTGTATAACGTGAGTTAACATGCACCTGCAAATGCCATGTAAAGACCCTTAGTTCGTCCACAGGAAACCTTCAGATCGCCCCATTTCCATAGATTGTATTTGACAAAAATTCACAAGGAGTTTGATTGCGACACTTTCCTACCTGCATTACCTGGCAATCTGAAGGAGATTAGGTAAGAAACAGATACAACGAAGTAAAAATCTGAAGAACTTCTCCTTGCAGTGATCCAGCAGTGACTGAAGATATTCAAGAAGAGAATGACATTGAATACACATTCCAAGTGTTTGAAGTAACTAATTAAGCAATAAATCGACGACTTCTAACCAAAATTAAAACAATATATTGATATGTCGATTGTAAATAATTAAAATATATAATTACATTGACTAACATAAATTAGTTGTATCACACAAATAAGACCGCGCTTTATCGTTCACTAATTTATCACGTAGTTTTATTGGGACTTTTGCATTATTACCGTCGAATCTTCAAAATACAACACCATTTTAAACTATATTTGTATCAAAGTGTTTTTAAGTGATTACAGTTTAAATAGAATTAGAATTTCTTCTTTGGCTACTTAATTAAAAATAAAGGATTTTTTAAATGAAACGTTAATCTATCGTTTTACAGACATTTCCGTAAAAGGAATGTTACAATTTTTGTTAACACTATATACTAGGCGGATCACCAATGAGACCCTCCTAACTGGAAGTTGCCATTGTGAACAAACCACCCAGTATATTTTAATTACTTGCCTGTTTACACATAACATCGGTCAATTTTAGTGGGTCCATATATCTTCAAACGTAACAAATCTAGACACTAATCAGGAGTTTTGATTAGCTTACAAATTCTTAAATAGAAAGGTTCTGATCTTCAAATATATCTTGGAACTCAAATGAATTCGGTTGCTTGATGCACATTTGGAAATCGTGATAACGAAAGTATTGCTTAAAGCCTACATAGCTTGTCACAAATTCAAATTGTCGTCTCATCCTAATTAGTTTGACTACCTGGCTGGCTTAGCGTTACAAGGCTCTGGTTAGGGCTTCTTGTGCGGATTGGGGCAACTGATGCTTTTTCGTGTTGATGCTGATTTGTCGATCGCCAATATTGGCGGCCTGATTCGACCAATCGCCCGTTTGTACGGTGGTCCGGTAGAATTTCGATGTGGTCTTGTTGAAGATCGGCAGAAGCTCGTTGGCCTCATTGGACAAAGCCTTTTACACAAACCTCGGTAAATCGGCAGGAATTTTTTTATTTTTTAGCTAAGTACCTTCATGTAGATGACGGTATCGGTGCCGTAGCCTTCGCAGGAGAGCAACACCAAGTCGCCGTGGAAATATCGGGCATATAGACGGGAAATGGGCAACCCGTATCCATATCCAGCCAATGGGACCGTATGAGCGTCCGATTTGCTCGGTTGGGGCGCCGTTGAGTACATGTACTTAAACAGATGGTCTGTAGTGGAGCGCCGAATACCCCCACCTAGGTCAGACATCTGCAAACAGACACAAACATTCAGTTCTACTCGCTAGTTTCTTTTTCAGTTATTTTAAGAAAAACCGCCCAAACAAGTCTGGAGAACCAACGCGCAAGTACCTACATGGTTACGCGTGCAATTCTGCAAATGTTCACGTGTAAAAAACCGTTTGCAGACTTCCATCAGCTTTCGTTTAGGAAATATGCGTGTTCTCAATTTAACCTAACACTTGAACACTTTATAACACGTATAAAGCACCACTTTAAGGACAAAGTCCCCGTCATATTGAACAAGCATTCTGCTTGAAAACAGCACTTTCACTCTCACCTTCAAGCAGATGTCCTCTTTTCCCTTGGAAACGGCGACTGTGATTGGTGGAAACTCGTTGCTGGAGTTGTGATACTCCATAACGGCTCGCATTGAGTTCTTGAACAGTTCGAAGAGCATGTGATAGAGATGCGATGGCACGTAGACAATATTGATGTATTCCTCCTTTTGCAGGTCTGGAAACCGAACAGTCGGGTCAGTGATGGAAAACTGTAAGGGAGAAAATTACCATTGTGTTGGCCCTGATTGATGATCAAATCGGGCGAAGCCAAGTAGTACTGGTCGCATAGGAAGCGGGCATTTTCGTATGCGTCTTTAATTACGCTCACCACGTCGCATTGAGTGTCGATGCATCCAATGTATTTGCTTCGATTTGGGCCTGGGGCGTTTTCGAGCTGGCCCCCAAAAATCAACGCTGAAAATAAATTTACTGTTTTACCGTTAGAGAGATTCGGACACACTTTGCTACATCTAGAACTCGTTAAACTGTAAGTAGATGGCTCAAACAAAACATTGAGAATTGAGTCATCTAATTACTGAAATGGAAAATAATGAGCTAAAACCCCGCTTAGGAACTTACTGTGTTGATTAATGAGCATCCTGATGGAGATTCTGGACATATAGAACCGATCTAGAAAGTACTGAATGCTGTGCTCAGTGTGACAGTCCACGTCGTGGGATTCCTTCAGCTCCAGAACGCCCTGAGCCATCGTTTCCACAACGTCTGAGTGCCGATTTCTGATCTTCACCAGCTCGTTGCAGAAGTGCTCCATTGTGCCCGGCGTCGGATCCTTCTTCTCGAACTCCAGGATTTCCTGAAAACTCCTCATGTACCTGAAAATCCAGATTTAGATGCAAACTACCATTTCAATTTGGACGGGAAACTCACCAATCGTTGACGGCAATCACCGAGGGCATTCTTAGAAGGTTTTCGGGAAGGAGTGCAATTTCCTTCATGATGTTTGCGAGACGGACTGGCAGCTCTTTTCTCAGGAAAATGAACGACTTCTCTTCAGATGCGTTCAGGCCTGGAAAAACCAGCCTTGGATGAAGCCTTTGATTTCAACGGTTAGTTTTCGATTACGTTAAACTTGGATTGGCAACGCATTTAGCGGGCCTTGCCCATGAAACGTCGGTTGCATTAATAATAGACAACCGGGCTGTATCCTGGATGGCAACTTTTCCGCAAATTTCTGTATTTCATAATGAATTATTTCACATGGGACTGTCCTAGACAACAGTTAAAACCCCAAAGTTTTCTGGCTAATTTCCTGTATCATTTTACATAGGTAGTAGACTTTGATTTATTCCCTCATGAATCCCTTTATGATGTTCATGAAAATCTAACACATAAACCGAGTAAACAACAACAACAGCAGCGTGATTAATAATAAATTAACATTGCAGTTACGCTTCCTTTGGATGACGCAACTGAAAACATATTTGTTCCATGTATTTATTTTCTTTTGTAGATGAACATGCTTGGATGTTTTGCAACGCCTGACTATATTGCAGGCTGGGGACAGTGGAATTTTGAGAAAATGCCCAGTACGAAACCCATCAGAAGTGCCTAAATAAACAATCATTGAAATCCGTCCTTGGAATCACAGACAACTTTGTTGTTTATGTACATGTTTATTAAGAGCGATGATAACAAGATTAACATCGATAAACGTTCGAGCTGCGTTGAATATTTACCGATTGCACAACGATGTCGTACCTACATATATGTTAGTCAAGCAGCTCAGGACCATCATAAAAAGTTCACACCTAAAGTGATTAAATTAAAATGTGCATTTGCCTGGCAACGTTTCAATGTCATTGCAAAAATCTATCTATGTAATGGACGTGGGAGGTGAATGATGCATGATACCACTGAATCCATCACGTTCATTCAATGAAATCAAGCGCCTATTTATTGCAAGGTTAATATATTATTGATTCGTGCTGATGCCTATATTGTATGTCCGATTGGCCAAGGAATAATGAAAGTTTCAATATGGAACGTATCTAGTCGTATTGATATCTGCGAAACTCTCAATTTATGCAAAAGCAAAGCAAGAAGACGATTTAGGGCGGCAATTATCTTAGAGAACCCGAACAAAGTTAATCGAGTACGTGCAAAAACTGGGTCTTTGCAATCTAAAACAATAAAGCACGAAAACAAAAGTTTAAACAGAAAATTTTTAACGCAGTTGAAAGAAAAACTGTATTCTCAAATGGGATAATGCAAGACCAAGCACGATTCTTTGTAAATTTAAGGAAAAGCAGCGCAGTTTGCGACTGATAGAATACTAGAAAAAGGAGATAAAGTCCTATGAAATTTCTTCTGGTGACCCAAGCTTAGCTCATTGTTGGCCTGTTGGGTTTTTCCATTCATAAAAGCAACCGAATTTTCACATTTTTAACTACAGTTGAGTCGGGATATAACGAACTTGAAAATTGAACTAAAACTGGTTTGTTATATCCGGAGTTCGCTATAAGCGAATAATGTTACTAAAACACGTGGTGTATTTTATTCCGTTATTTTTACATAGAGTAGTAGAAGTTAGTAGGTATGACTAAAAAGAACACAAAAAGATAAACAAAATTCAATTTGAAATCTACTTAAAGTCTGTAATTTTTGCTGCAAAAATAGATGTTATTTATGTAGTTCTCAAGATCACAAATCACAAAAGG